AAAAGAAGGAATAACATATTTTCAAAATGGAAAGCCACAGTAAATTCAACTAAAATTGTTCAAATCATATATTTGCGGAATGTATAATTTTGTCTCTAAAGAAAATTCTGTAAAGCACATTAGAATTGATTTAAATAGTCGCTCATTTTAAAAATCATATCATGATTAATTTCATCATTTAATATCAAAAAGAAAAGAATTTATTTATTCGTTAAACGTATAACATAGCTCAGTTAAGTCTGCATGACTGACTTATACTTTATAACGCTATTTTGAAACCAATTTAGACATACATATAGAGTACAGTTATGGAACACTTCCAGTAATTCTGAAATAGAAATTTTACATATATTTCAAACAACAGATCTAAAAATTATTCTCAATGCTCCCTGGTTTATCTCTAGTGACATATACATAACGACTTAAAAATTAAATACATTAAGGAGGAGATCAATAGGTTTAGAGAAAGATATTTAAGTACGCTAAGCAAACATACAAATGCTACAGCAGATAAATAGTTTTAATGAAGATAGAGGAATTAAAAAGTCTAATGTACTAAGTCTGCCTCACAGAAGATAAAAGTATAAAAGATAAAAGTAACAACATGGTTAAAGAAATGTAATATACCTTCTGCTCAAAAAGTATCCGGATTTTGTTGTTTGTTAACTACTCCTTAAGTAATAGACATTTTCAAAAAATTTGAGCGCCATCTGTCAATTAGTTTGTTTACAGCAGCTGTTAATGTGAGACTACCTCAAGTGCATTTTGCTATGGAAAATTTTTGTTGTACGCGATTTTTTGACCGAACACGGCACCACTGTCATCGCTAAGGCACCATATTCCCCAGATCTGGCGCCGTGCAACTTTTTCCTGTTCCCGAAACTCAGATTGAATCGGTAAAAGAGAATTCGCTGAAGGAACTAAAAGCCATACCTGCACGGGACTACGAAAAGTGTATAGAAGATTGGATTAAGTGTTGGCATATGTGTATCGCTTCAGAAGGAGCATATTTTGAACGATTTGAAATAAATTTGGAATAAAATTCAAATTTGTGTGTTTTATTTACAAAATCCGGGTACTATTTGAGCAGAAGGTAGAATGCTGCACAATTTTATCATATTTTTTATTTAAAGTTAACATTTGTTAATTAGAATTAGTACGAGATAAATAATAAATAGTTTATCTTAAGTGTTACCAACCCCCTTAAACCTTTTCTTAATGTTAACCGACAATAAAATCATATGCATTATTCCGGTAAAGTCGTCGGGACAGTACTGAGGTATTAAAAAACCTACTGGGTTTGTTGTTTACATGTTTCTTAAACCGCATAGAATGTGGTTCCGGTTGCCACAGCCACAGCAACTGCTGAGATGTTTAGATCTTGATGGATATTGTGATCACGAACACCATATCAGTTAATGACCATATTCCGTAGAACATATTTTATATTAGTACTGATAAGGGTAGCACAGCCCTAAATTTGTAAAATTTGCTTGTTTATTATACAATTTTAAAGGTAAAATATTGCTATTGTAAAATAAAAATGTTGCAATATACCACCGTATAAAGCAATTTTTGCTGCAATACCAATAATTTGAAATAATTTCCTTGACACTGTTTCCTCTTTATGAACAAATACTACTTAGTACTTGCATTAATTGTATTTGAACAATCCGGTTTAATTTTACTATAATCAAAACACTTTTTGGTAGCTATTAATATTACTAAGGTTTAGGGTATTAAAACATTTTTGACACGTTTAAGAACTTTTGCATATGTCTTCAAATACATGACGTGATTAATTTAGACAATAAAACAAACCAAACAATTTACGTAAAAAGGTCAACATGCGTTTAACTTCGGGGCTTCTACTACATTTAATAAAACGTGTCAAGGTCTCAAATTCAGATTTACGTCTTTTTGACAACTATATTTACATTTTTATTGCCTAAAAACACTTATTTTGGTCGAATAGCAACAAACATATAATTAGCCTTCACAACTACTTGTCCAAAATTATTTTCTCAAAATACGAATATTTGAATACGTAATGAATTAGTGTATATGATTTATATTAATATATTTTATATATAAAAGTCTCTATAGCAATTTATATATACCCAATATATAATTGAATTATAGTGTTTTACTCTATTTTTGTCTTTAAAACTTAACTTACACTAAATAACACACATTGCTAAAATTTTGTTATTTCTACTCATATCTACTTAGTCCTAACACTACTAATTTTTCAATTACTAACTTTAAATAATGACAATATCTATTTTACTATTATTAAATCTATATAAAAGTATATAAATAAATTAGAATTTTATAGTAGAAGAAGTTTTTACTAATTTTAATAAGAGAGTAGTAGTAGAATCTAACAACAAAACCAATAATTAGCTAATTTAACTAATTATTCCATAACTGTGGCTTATGCTTTCATTATATTATAATGCACCAACTAAATTTTTTAATTAATATTAACAACAAATTAATAAAATTCAAATTAGAATAACAGAAATCAAGTACGACTTTGGATCATTGGTGGTAAACAATGTAAGTTTGAGCTGCAAGAACAACACAAATCAAACACGACTTTGGATCATTGCTGGTAAAAATTTTCTTACTGTAGTTCACACCACATATTTGACTGTAAAAACTAAATTTATATTGAGTAATATATAAAGCATCTATAGCCTGAAAACACCTAGCAGAGGGGAAATTCTCTAGCTATCAAACACCAATCTTATCCCCAGGCTTACAAATAATATCTGGTCTTCTAGGTTGGAGGTTAATAACAAGGTTAACAGCCTCGCATCGGAAAAAAACCAACCGATACGCAACCAACAAACATGCCTCAAACACCGATGACAACAAGGCATAGAAGCAGACCGAAGCTGAGATAGAAGGAAAACGTGTACTAGGACGCCAGAAAGCTCGAAGTTCCGAATTGAAAAACAACTGCACAAGATCAAATCAGATGTAGGGAGTTTGTAAAAGAGATCAAGGTTAACACTAGACTGTAGTGCCAAATAAGAAGAAGAAGATATAAAGCATCTGTGTCTTTATGGTGATGTGTTAGTATCCATAGTATATTTGAAGACATGCAATTTGTGATGCTTTACGAGTATTACCACAAAGAAGGAAACCTGCTGCAAACATATACCGAATAATTTTAGCGGTTTACGTTAAAAATGATGTGAGTCAACGTTGGACCAAATTCCGAAGTCAGAAATTTTGTGTGTAAAGGTACGCCTCGTGTCAGTCTGCCAGTCTCTAAAAAACCAATGAATTTTGGCAACTGGAGCAAATCGCAACAAATTACACAAAGAAATATTTGCTTTCATTTGGAACTATTTTGGGTGGAACCATTACGAGCGATAAAAAATGAGTCTTAATATTAATTAGATAAAAACCAACTCAAGCATTTAAGGTCAAAAGACAAATTCACGGACTGGACTGACGGCAAACAAGATTATGTTGAGTATTTAATGCAACTGGATTGCAGTTGTTTATTACTAGCTGATCCAGCGCGGTCAATTGGGTCCACTTCTGGTTAAGACTAACCGCTTGAACGAAATTGTGATTAAAATTGACAACGAGGTCCATCATGACCAAACATGTCCTTGATGACTCTACGACCTTGATGATGATACTCTCTTATCTTAAGGGTTTTTGCGAGCAATGTGGTAGCAAAATGGTCAAAAATAGCTAGTTAAGGAACATGGAAAGTTATCTGATGGCCTGCCACTACAATCATCTATCATAAAAGATATTTTGTGTGACAACCAATCTTCAACAAACAGAAGAGATTAATACTTTTTAATGAACACTAGAATGTGTCTCAAATATTAAAAGTATTCTTTTATATTAAAATTATTGTTTTCTATTTATTTATTTATTTATTTATTTATGTGTTAACACTAAAATTAACTAAGAATAAGAAACTGGACTGCAGGTCTGAGATATCTATAAATTAGTTGATAGATAATATTATACAATGACTTTTTTAAAGCAAATTTTTTTTAATATATCAAAAAAGAACAAGAATTAAAAAAAAACGCAAAATTTTAATTTTTAATAATTTTCTTTATTATCGTCTTCAAAATACTCTCCTCCTGCGGCAATACATGCATGCCAACGCTTGATCCAATTTTCCATACAAGTTTTATAGGTCGCCGAAGGTATGGTCTTTAGTTCACGCAGCGAATTCTCTTTTATGGTCTCTACGGTCTCAAAACGCGTTCCTCGCTGTGGCAATTTAAGTCGAGGGAAGAGGAAAAAGTCACACGGGGCCATCTCTGGAGAGTACGGTGCTTGGTTGATGACATTGGTGGAGTTTTTGGCCAAAAACTGCGACACAACCAACGCTGTGTGAGCCAGTGCGTTATCGTGTTGTAAAATCCATGAGTTTTCCTTCCATAAATCTGGCCTCTTTTTGCGAATGGGCTCACGCAAACGACGTATAATGGCCAAATAATACTCCTTATTGACCGTTTGACCGTCCGGAAGGAATTCATAGTGCACCACACCACTAATATCGAAGAAAACAGTCAGCATAATCTTGATTTTGGACCGACTTTGGCTTTCTCTTTTCGGTTTCGGCTTACCTACGAAGCACTATTCGGTCGATTATTGTTTGGTGGGCATGTCAAATTCATAGACCCATGTCTTATCACCAGATATGATGCGTTCGATGAATGTGGGGTCATTATCGGCGTTGTCGTTATCATCTCTTTGGCCACATCACAACGACGCTTTTTTTGAATGAAAGTGCGGAAATTCAAAAATTAAAATTTTCGTTTTTTTTTTGATCACAAGGTAAATATATTATTTCTTCATTTACAAAATAAACATATTCTAAATATTTTTATGACACATTATATATGGTACACAAAATTTTAGTAAATACCCCTGATAGTTTGGTCTGCCATGCTGCTGCGGGTAAATACGATAGTTAGGTAAATATAAACTGTACGGAGTTTGAGGTAACCTTAATGAACAGTTTTTAAAATACACTTACAACAAGAAGGCACTTTAAATTGATCTGTAACGACAGTGCCATTTGGAGTAATGGCTATCAATGTACGATAGATATGATTTTGTTTACAGGTCGCATCCACACCATTTGGCAATAAATCTGCATACTTGCATCTGTTCTCTTCATTTGAACACAGTTCTACGCGTAGACCTTGCTTAAATTTATCATCATCATTTACTATGAACAATAGTTCGTTATTCTTTGAAAGTTGTGCTTTCGGAAAAATGATTTTCTCTTCACTATCACACAGGAAACTCTCATCTGGTCCGATGTTTATGCGTTGTTCTACATTTTCTGGTTGCATCAGCTCATCCGAAAAGAAAAATTGAAGTTTGGAAAATTCATCCAATAATTTCGATTCGAAATTTCTCAAATCAGGATAATTATGCACTTCTGTACAAAATGGCTTACCAGCGTGCAAATCATCATCACAGGTAGGTACACCGTTATTTGATGAATCCATTATTATTCCATCTTCTTGGCTTTTGGAATGATGTGCCGGAACAGTTTTTTTTAATAGTCCTTCTTGCTGAATTGTTCCATTAACAAAATTTGGATTGAATGTTGCATTGTTATCTGTTATAAATATTTGAGATATTAAGTGATCTATGTTTGGACAAACTATGGGCTGGAAAACTGTGCACAGCAGTAAAACAGTAAACGTTTTATATGAAATAGGTTTTAATGTTGAATTTAAAGCCATTTTAATTAAATTTATAATGGAATTTTTTAAGATATTAGTAAATGGATGTCAAGGCTAGTTGTTCTGCTCTTTATCAGCTCAAATTAAAACTGTTGAGTTCACAGCGAGAGATCACCGATTTTATGTTCAGGTATGTGAATTTAGGTAAGAATTAGACGATTCTATAAATCGTAAAATAAACAAATTCTTTATTTAAAATGACATAATTAACAAGGACTAAAGAAGAAGTTACTACCTGTGCCGTTTGCATTGATCAGTGATTAACGAAATTTAGTTAACAAGAAAATAAATGAGATGAGATACCTGATGCCATCATGAAAATATCAATATTAAGAAATAATTTTAAAAGCAACGTAAAGACTATAAACCTTTGTCCTCTCCAATTCTTAATTAATACACCAAGTGTATCAAAATAGTATTTGTAGGAAAAAAGATTCTTTTTAAGGTCTCAAAATTTATTATTTTACTTTGATGTCAAGTAAAATAATAGCTTTTGGGCCCTAAAAAAGACTCTTTTTTTCTACAAATACCATAAAAATAACAGCATAAAATTAAGATTTGAAATGTTTTAATTATCTCCAGTATAACGAAAAACCTATAAAAATAAAAACGAATTTCTAAAGAGAATTTAAAAAAAAAACGATGGAGAACAACGCACTTCAGTGGAACGTCTATTGAAAACTTGTTATAAAGACTTCTGTTTGCAGTATATGAAGAATACTTAACAATAAATATGATGATATATCGTTTACATTTATTATGTTACTCTGTTTTGTCCTCATAATAGAGGTGCGATAGAAGCCGTTCCATAAATGTTTTGAAAGCCATTTTTATTTCTTTTTAGACTGATGTAATGATGAGGTTGATGTTTAGTAACTACTTTGGTAATGTAACTCAGAGTAGTTTGTTTTGAAATCATTGTAATATATATTTGCCAGCCAGACTAGTGCAGAAAACAGGACCATACGTTTTAAAAATTTATTTGTAAATAAACAGCTTGTTATATTGCGATAGAGATAACTTACATTCAACTAATCATTAAATAAGGTAAACGACTAATATCTAATAATAGCTTCTTGATTTTGTAATGTACAATGGTATCTCTAACAGACTGGAAGCCATGAAAATCATAACTTCATGAAATAGCCTAAGGATTGGATATGCTTACATATACACAGATTAAAATATCATCTTTTATGTATAATCACAAATAAAAAATAAAATAATATTTAAGGTATAAAATTGATAATTCAAATAAGACTTTCAGCATTATTGACATTGGTAAACCTTCTTTGTACTTGCAATGCACTTTTCTACCCATATATTCTCCCAAATCTATCGAACTACGTACTACCATTATTCAAAATAATATATAATACTTTTTAGCAAAGAAATGAATATAGTTAATAAAATGTGTAGGAGTCAAAAGCTTACTATTTAATTTATTTTATGAAGGCTTACTTATTGATAGATTAACTCACATCAATATTCGCTTGACATCCTCTCGATAACGACCAATGGTATTCCTCAAGAAGAAACTACTCCAAAATGGTATTTTGTTTTATTATTTTTTTTTTTCAATTTATAAATTATTTATTGAATCTTTCTAAAAACTAAACTAACAATAAGTAGATCAAATCTTAAAACTAAATTTATTCTTTTCCCTAAGTCATTGCTTGAAAAAAACTTTTGAGACATTGAATTATTTTTAATAAGATAAGATTAAAAATTAAAACTAAAATTAAAATTAAAATTGAAATTAAAATTAAAATTGAAATTAGAATTAAAATTATTGAATAAAGTATTCGTGTTGCTGTAAAGCTAGACTTTCTTTGTATAGTGACAAAGAAGCTTTATTAAAAAACCCCTCTAAATTAAAATTATAATTAAAAACTAAAATTAAATCAAATAAAAATTAAGAAAGTTAACAGATGTTTATGGTGTCCTTCTTTTTTAGACGTCTGTGGCCTTTGTTCAGTAGCAGCTTGTAAGCTGATTGGTTAGGATGATCTTCTAACTTTAAGATGTGTTGACGGCTACATCGAGCAGCTTCTTCTGTTACTGTTGGTACGCTCAAATCTCTATGAAGGTTAGCATTTTTCATAAACCACGGTACACCTGTTATCATTCCTAAGGTTTTAGATTGCAGCCTTTGCAGTTTTTCAATATTTGATGACTTCGCTGTTCTCCACAGTTGAACTCCGTATAGGTTTTATTATAGGTTTTTTATAGTAGAATTTTGTATTCAAGTGGTTTGTTTTATTGACAATGAATTTTATATAAAACAATACCTCGCAAAAATTTATAGTTAATATCCAATAACTATCCAATACTCGTATTACAAGTCATTATGAATCTATTCATCACATAATTCATGAAATTACAGTCATTATCTATCACTCAGCTGGTTTAAAACTTAAGTTCGACGTTTAAAATGCAAATGAAGTGGGTCAGCGGTTTTTCAATTGTGTTGGTATTTTGTTCAGCACCGAAGCAGGAAGTTAACCGGAACTTGCACACTTACAACTTCCGTCGAGCACTTGTTGATACACAAACTTCTTCATTGAATATTCTACATACTTGATAACTTCAAATATTAGGTCTGTTCCACGAGCTACACATAGTAACTTTGAGTAACACTGTGTATACACAAGTGCGTTCCACGAACAAATTTGTGAGTAAATGAGAGCATCTGAGAGAGCGTAACATCCCTGTCGAAATTTGAAAATGTTACGCAGACTTTACTCATGCATTTTATATGAAGTAAAATTTGTGTTTATGTGTAAATCAGCTGTTATGGTTTGAATTCAAATTTTTGTATTGTTTGTTTGCGCGGCATTTGTGAATATAAAAAAATTCTGCATTTTTAATTGTAACAATTGTAATAAATAAATATTGAAATGGATAAAACCATAATAAATATTTTATTAAGTGATTTAAGTAACACAACACAACCAGAATATAACGTAGTTAATACACTTCGAGATAGTGACTCTGACGATGATGTAGAATTGGTGTATTCGATATTACATAAAAAAAAAGAAAACGTGTGTGTATAAAAAATTATATACAAGATGTTGTTTACAAATATGACGACAAGGAATTCAAAACTCATTTCCGCATTTCGTGGATCCTTTTTAATTCTTTGGCTATAAAATTTCAAAATAGTACCGACTTTATTGCACTGCGAGTAAGTGAGCTGAACATTTCTTCAGAAGCTCACGTTGCTGTTTTTTATGGTTTGCTGGTCACGAAGCATATTGTTTTAGAGATTTATCAGATCGCTTTAATCTTTCTTTATCGTCAGCAAACCGAGTTATAAGAAGGATGAGAACTTTCTTTAGCAACATATGTCCGGATATAATTGCATGGCCTAGCACATCAAAAAAGGAAGAAGCAAGTACATTTTTCCGAAGCTTATGCAATTTTCCATAAGTTATAGGTAAGGATTTATGTGCATATTAACGCTGCATATATATTAATACATGTTACTTTGCAGGTTGCCTAGATGGCACTCGTATAACTATTGATCCTACTGGAGATCGTAAGGACGACTACATTGACAGAAAAGGAAATATTTCATTATGCTTGCAAGCCATCTGTGATGAAAACAGAAAATTTATTAGCATATTTGTCGGACATCCAGGCTCCTGTCATGACAGTTGGGTCTTACAAAACTCTCCTATTTATATGCGACTACCATCGAAGTGTGGAGGTAAGTTCTTTGGAAAAAGAAATGAGATTTATTAAAACCTCTTACGTTTACAGAATACTATCTACTGGCTGATTCCGCATACCCCTGTACACAACACATCATTACGCCATATAAAGACAACGGGCGTCTTACTCGTGCACAAAATAATTTCAATAGAAAATTGGGGTCAGGTCGAATACTAATAGAAAATGCATTTGGTATTTTAAAACAACGTTTTAGACAGCTACTGTGTCACTTTATAAGAGTATGTTGTGTTTTGCACTATCTTGCAAATGGAAACGACTTAGAATTCACATTTTCAGAACAATCTGAGGAAGATAATGATGTCAACAACCAGATCCCTTTTAGATCAAGTATCGTTAGAGATTCAATTTGTAATGAATTACAAACACAAAATAACTTGGATTAAAGTGTTTATTTGTATATTGCTTATTTTTCATTAATTAATTTTATTAATATTGCAATAAAGAACTTAATTCTAATTAATATATTAACATCACATTTTATAAATATATACTTAATTCTATCTTAGCTTTAAAATTACATTATTTAAATAAATTTTTAATTCTAACTAAACATAAAGACTATAATATTAAAAGTAAATATGTTTTTAACATAATGTGTCCTAATAATAATAATATGTAATATATTAAAATAAGTTTAAAAATAAATAAATATAATATATTAATTATTTTATTATTAATGTGTTTGTCTGTTATTTTTCAATTTCTATTTCTACTGTTTTGTTTTTCAAAAAACAGCCGTTTTCACCAGACTTTACACAAAGCTGTTCCATGAAAATTTGTGTAAAGAGCGTAATCTGGCACTTTATTTGTGTTACGCTCTCAGTTTGTGCTTTACTTCTGTTTTACTCATGGTTTACTATGTGTAGCTCGTGGAACAGACCTATTATTTATCACCGCTTTATGGTTCAAGCATTACACTTTCCACACTTACTAACCGAATACAGTTTTTCACGCAAAAAAGTGTGGTTTTGTGAAACTCAGGCTATATTCGATTTCATAACGAATTCGTATAAAACATAAGCAAATGTGAACCCCCACAAGAAGATGAAAGCCTTTTCGAACATTCATTCATAGAAATTTTGGTAACATATAAATTATAGACAAAGGCTTGCGTGACATTTGTCATAAATTTATTTTTCTTTGTTTTAAAGTGTCCCTTTCAGCTTTATTGAGGCAATAAAACTAATAAAAACAACACTTAAATGTGTTAAGCAAATAAAAGTAATTTAATCAATTATGTACAGCAAAGAGTTCTGACA